TGGGCTGTCAAGTTAATCCTTTCTGTGCGCGTGTGTAAGTTTATTTCAAGAAAGCATTGACCAACTTCTTGGCAGTTTTATACCAATTGGACAGCAACCAATTTTTTTTACATTTCCACACCTGTGAAGATACTTTTACAAATTCAAAATAATCAAAGGTCAAGAGGTCAATATGGTCAATGCCGTTTGATGCTAGCACGCCTCTCCTCGCAATCACAACTGTTGCACAGTTAACACCAGACCCGCACTCAGTCTCTTCATCATCATCATCTTTGCGACCACCATCACCGTCTGGCTTTAGGACTTCCACTCGATTACCGACTTATGAGTACCGCTCCAATGCCCGTCTCGGTAAGCGGCCCTCCTCAACAAATATGTGGCGTAACACCTGACAGCTCTCAACGCTTCGAAGACGTCTGTGCCGGCGTGGAAGAGAAGGCCAAATACTTCCCTAGTGGGGGTGGGGGGGGAGGCTCTTTGTTCAGAACTCCATCCAGTGGAGGCCCTTCTGCCAAACGGTGCCGTGAGCGATGCCATCACACCCCACGACTTGTCTCCCCTTCTTGTTACGACCACCACGAGGCGCGAAGTTCCAACGTTCGCTTCCGTTCCACTGAGTGTCTCCACAGCGCGTGTGCTCGCTCCCCCCTTTTCAGGCACCTGTAACACTAAGGCCAGAGAACCCACTTTCAAGTCGTCTTTTGTTGTTGTTGTTGTATTTTTCAAATTAAATACAGCCGTGATTAAGAGAGCAGTCAGGAGCTCAGCTGTGAGAGTTAAACAAGCAAGCACAAAACCCCAACAACTAATAATGGTTGAGATTAAGGTTGCCATTGACGTAAACAATTCACGTGATGTGACCAAGGAAGAGCGTGAGGCTCCATTTTTGTAGTACGAGCACGGCAAATACCGCGTTGTCCAGATTGTAGAACGCTCAGGAAAGTAAGCGAGCACCCCCCCCCGCCTCCCCCCCAAAACTTCGGGGTCATTTAAGAAAACCGACACAGTTATGCAAGAAAAAATCACCAACGGAACGTCTGGGAGCGAGACGTAATGTCGTCAAATATAAAGTAAAAAAAATAGTGGACGCCTGGGGCAAAGAAAAAAAACGTGCATCTTATGATCCAGAGAATACAGTAATTATGGTGGAAGTGGCGGCAATGAAGGCCACATTGCAGATTCTAAGACGCATCCCCAACTTGTTGTTTTATTTATACGATAGGGGTCTGGCGGGCGGGTGGGTGGGTGGGGGGTTAGTGACTTTTGTAATCAGGAGAATACGGTCATTTGAAAATGTCTCAAAATATGACAAGGCAGGGAGGGTATAGGGCTAATGGATTATTTTTAAACACAGCCTCGCGCCATTAACTCGGCAGAAAGTGTCGAGCGTTCGCTGTTTGAAGCTGGTGAGGACAATTGCCGAGCAAACAAAATAAATTGGGAGAGGTGCCCAAGACGAGACCGTTAATTGGGGGAGTCGTTTAACCGTCGCGTCTCCACGCAGCGTTAAATTCGAACGCCGAAATGAACGTGGCGTGAGCGATAAAACAACAACGCCGACGCATTACGCGGAGAAAAAGATAGGAGGGCGGGGGGGGGCATAATGCAGCTACGTCCCCCCCCAGCATGTACCCAGTCACGTAAGCCGACTCCGGGGGAAACCAAAGCCCGTGGCTGCGGCTGTGGCCGGCCGAATTCGTCACGATCCCGGCCTGACATTGCCACTGTAGCTACATGCCGGCGTGTTTTGTCAATGTACCTGGGTCGTCTTCTTGGTTCTTTCGGTAAAGTCACGTAGAATGGCGTGGAATGGCGTTGGCTGAATAAATAAATGCTGGGAGACGCGTTTGTGCTGGCAGTAGGTACGAAGGGGGCACGGGTTCAAAAACCTCATTCCTGCCTCGCGTTCAGCGACGCCGGTTTAACAAGGTGAAAAATAGAAAAATAAAAACTCTGGCAGAATGTGTTATTTCACTGCTGCCATTGCCTGAAATCGTAAAACAGAACTACTGTACCTTTAATTCAACGCTTGAACAAAAAAAAACGACCCCCCCCCCCGTTATCGTCTGAAATGCCAAATGTGCAACACTTGCGGCGTTTCCCATCCAAAGTTACATTTCAGATCTTTCACTGCAATTAACAAAAACGTAGTTTTTGGTTGCAAAACAACGGCCAAACAACAACAAAAAGAAAAGAGGAGACCTGCGGGCGCTTTGCGGTGACGACACAGAAAACGGTACAAATATAACCAAACAACACCCCCCTCGAATTGTTTCGGCAAAACCACCAATATCTCACGTCTCAGCGCGGTTCTCATCGTCGTCTTCGTAGCCACTAGGGCCCCTTTAGCCCCCCATCCACCCACAGCTCCTTCAACCAACGGAGAGAATCGAGGACTGGCGGTGACTTCGCGCTCGTTTTGTTCACGGGTAATATTCAAAGCAGCAAAGACGTCACGAAATTTACTCGCAAATATACCGACCTGCAAGAAGTGCATTCCATTCTGGATCCGTGTTACGGACGCAGGCAACCGTTGACCGTACTTGAAGCGCCGTGGCTAAATTCACACGTGTGCCGAGTGTTTAAAAACCACACCTTATCGATTACTGCATTACAAGCAGAGCTACATCTTAATATAGTACAAAATATAAAAAATACCTTCTTAGCACATATATAGATATGTTTTTTTGACGTATATACAGCAAAGTTATGTACACTGGAATTATACAGAGAAACGACACGTGTTTTATACTTTCGTCTTTTTTTTCACTTCTTAATTCCTCCACATGTCCGAATACCGAGCCGCAGCCGCCGATCTTCTCTCGCCATCGCAAGCACGGCACCACGACCACAGTACATCCTCAGCGCCGCCTCCGTCTCCGGCATTGGCTCGCTGGCCTTCCGCCTTCCCCTAGCGGCACAAACGAACGGCAAAGGGCCCGAGTCTTCGTTGATCGACTCGCCATGCCTTCCTCCTACGACTCCGTCCCACCCTACCGTCCCGCACCTGCGCCGCCGCTCATGTGCTCGCGTCCCTGGTGATCTTCTTGCAGAAGATGACCTTCTTCTGGTCCTGCAGCTGCCTCTTCTTCCTGCGGCCCCACTGGCACAGCAGCAGCCACTTGAAGGTCCGCCTGAAGTTCTGGTTGCACAGCGCGTAGCACATGGGGTTCACCGTGCTGTTGACGTAGCACAGCCAGTAGCCCAGGTGCCACAGGTCGACGGGGATGCAGTCGTCGCAAAACGTCGACACGAGCACCATGATGTTGTAGGGCGTCCACGTGACGATGAACGCCAGCAGGATGGCGCTCAGCGTCTGCGCCGCCTTCTTCTCCTTGATGAGCGTCACGCTCTTGGGCTTCGCGTGCCGCTTGGCCTTGGCCAGCAGCTTGCGCGTCTTCTTGTCGTGCTTCCACGACACCGCCTGGCCGTGCAGGAACTGCGGCCGCGGCGATTTGCTGCCGCCACCGGCGGCACCGCCGGCGCCGGCGCCGCTGTTGCTGCTGCCGTTGCCGCCGCGAGAGGAGGAGGACGACGAGGCGGCGGCGGCAGCGTTGGCGCCGGACTGCTCGGGGAACTTGCAGCAGCGCTGATGGAACTTGTGCCGCTTGTCCCGCTCCGGGTGGGCGGAGGCCTCGACGGGCGACGTCGCGGCCGAGTGGCCGTCGGCCCGCAGCCGCGTCTCCGTCGGCACGGTCGCCTCCTTGGCGGCGGCGGCGCCGTCCTCCTGCGCCGACGCCCCGGCCGACGCGACCGCGACGGCGGAGACGGTGATCGCCACGGAGGAGGTGGACGAGGACTGCACGGCGAGCAGCCCCGAGCCCGACGTCTTCATCACCACCGTGTAGATGGACTTGGGCCGCTCGGGCGGGCAGCCCTCCTCCTCGGAGAGCGCCGAGTGGCTCGGCGAGGGCCCCCCGCTGCCGCCGTGGCTGCGCCAGCTCTCGCTGTTGCTGAGCTCGCGCTCGGCGCGCTTGTGCGGGTGGCACACGCGCAGCCCCGGGAAGCAGTAGCGAGGGGACCGCAGCCCCCCGGCGTCCCTGCCGCCTCCGCCGCCGCCGCCGCCACCGCCCGCCGCTCCTCCTCCCGCTCCACCGCCCCCGTTGTCCTTGACGTAGACCTCGTTGAAGCTGGACTTGCGGGAGCGGCTCTCGTGCAGCACTAGCTGCCCCGTCGACTCGGAGTCGGTGTCGGAGCCCTGCAGCCCGGCGAGCTCCTTGGAGCGCTTCTCCGTCTCCTTGTAGATCCTCCAGTAGAGGATGCACATGATGGTGACGGGCAGGTAGAAGGCCGCGATGGCCGTTCCGAAGGTGATGATGGGCTCCGACAGGAACTGGATCTGGCACTTGCCCTCCGAGTCCGGAACCTCCTCGACGAAGTACTGCCAGAAGAGGATGGCGGGCGCCCACAGGATGAAGGACACGGCCCAGGCGAGGCCGATCATGATGGCCGCGCGCTTCGTGGTGCGTTTGGCCCTGTAGGTGAGCGGCCGCGTGATGGAGAAATAGCGGTCGAAGCTGATGACCAGCAGGTTCATGACGGACGCGTTGCTCGACACGTAGTCGAGCGCGAGCCACAGGTCACAGGCCACCTGGCCCAGCACCCAGCGGCCCATGACAATGTAGGTGGTGTAGAGGTTCATGGAGAAGACGCCGATGATGAGGTCGGCGCAGGCAAGGCTCAGCAGGAAGTAGTTGTTGACCGTCTTGAGTTGGCTGTTCACCTTGAAGGAGAGCATCACCAGGATGTTGCCGATGATGGTGAGCAGACTGACGATGGTGGTGAACACGATGATGAGCACCAGCTCGGGCACCGTGCGGTCGTCGTCCGCCGCCGATGCCGTGCTGTTCACCAGGGCGTGAGTGGCGTGGCTCTCGTTCATCCTCAGCAGCTCGCGCGAGATGTTCTCAGCCACGGCCCGCATCGCACCTCCGCTTCTGCCACCCGTGATGTTGAGGAACAGCTCCCCGGACACGGTCACCATGGTTCGGGCTCCGTCCCTGAGTCGTGTGTGAGCAGTGTGTGTGTGTGAGTGTTGGTGCGTGTGCGTGTCTGTGTACGTGAGTTATGTGTGTAGGAATATATGTGTGTGTGTTGGTATGTATGTGTATATTTGCGGAGTGGTATGTGTGTGTATTGATATGTGTGTTTGTACTTTGTGTGTGTGTATCTACGTGTGCATTTTATGCGGATGTGCACGTATGCATTTGCGATTGTGCGCGCGTGTGTTCTGCGTGTTTTTGTGCATTTGCGTGTAAGCGAGAATGTTTATATATGTGCGTGTATGTTGAACTTCTTTCGAATGTGTGTGCGCGTGTGTATTTATGTTTGTGTGTGTGTGCTAAAACTTGTTTTCTGTTTGCCTTCAGTGTTTCACTGCGAGAGCACTCCGGGAGATGACGCTGCCAAGTGACGTTTATCTCGTGACACAGTCACTCTGAAATAAAAGTGTGTGGATTGTGCGCAGAGGCGAACAGCATTCTTGTTAGTTTAACACACAGGAGGCTTTCGCGAACAACATCATCCAAATTAAAGGTGTTTTTTTTGGGGGGGTGGGTTAGATCGCCTAAATAGAAATGTTTCATTAAACCCGCCACCACCCAACACAACCAATTAGGAAGGTTCTTCAAAGGATGCAAAGATTCAAAGGTAAATGCCACACACAACTAAATCAACTCGTACATTACCCCCCGCCCCCCCACCCCCACCTCCGCACCTGATTGGCGTACAAGTGACGACATCACATTTATCCCTCGGTATTAAAGACCAAAACAGGAGGATTTCTCCACAACTCTGGCTGTTGCCTGATGATGCTAGTTGCAATTACCAACGAAACGTCGTACTCGAATTGTAAATGTTGTGGGTTACTCTCCAACACACCGGTGTGCTGTACCAGTAACGAATTGACACGTTCTGTTCACGTGACAAACCTTACTAATTGGCTGTGCCGGGTGGTGGCGGGTTTAACGACACATTTATATGTATTCACGCGATCTAACCCCAATAAACGTCTGTTATGGAGCATTCTTGTTATAGCATTCGACATACTCTTAGGTTTTTTTCGGTAAAGTCACGTAGGTAAAAATAAATAATAAATAATAAAAATAAAATAAATAATAATAGAAATAAAATAATAAATCACGACGTTTTGGAGGCAACACAAGTTTCCGTCATCAGGTGGGACCCCCCCTGGTGAGACACTGCTTAACCAATACATACTTCACCTGGAATGGAACCTTCTACAAGCAAATTGAGGGCACCCCAATGGGCTCCCCCCTATCTCCGGTTGTAGCCAACATCTTCATGGAGAAATTTGAGACGGACGCCATCCAGACTGCCACTCTACGCCCGACCTTATGGAAGAGGTACGTAGACGACACTTTTGTCATCTGGCCACATGGCCGGCCTGCTCTAGACCAATTTCTCGACCACATCAATTCCATACACCCAGCCATCAGATTCACCATGGAAGTCGAAAATGATGGCAAGCTACCCTTTTTGGATGTCCTAATCAAAAGGAGACCTGATGGTTCAATGAGCCACTCTGTCTACAGGAAAGCCACCCACACGGATGCTTATCTAAAACCGGATTCCCACCACCATCCATCTCAGAAGAATTCCCTCATCAAGACTCTATATCATAGAGCCCAATGCATCTCCGACCATGAACACATTTCCAGTGAACTCAAACACGTACGCCAAGCTCTTAAGGCAAATGGTTACTCCGACTATACAATCCGCAAAGCCATCACTCCAACCATCAAGAAGGATCCTGTTGAGGAGCCTTTCAAGACCATCACCTTACCCTACATTGCTGGGGTCACAAAAAAGATCTCCAAAATCCTGATTAAACACAAGATCCAGGTCCGATTCAACACAGTACATAAAATCCGTGATCTGGTACCGTCTGTAAAAGATGTGGTTCCAGACATACAGTACCCTGGCGTCTACAAACTAAGTTGCCTCTGTGGTAGCAGTTACATTGGGGAAACCAAACGACATGTCTCGGACCGCATCCGTGAACATAAAGCTGACCTGAAACACGGTAGGACTAACACCTCAGCCGTGGCAGATCACTGTTACAACTCAGTGGGCTCACATGATATTGACTTCTCCAAGACAGAGGTTCTCTGCAAGCCATCTGGCTATCATGAGAGATTCGTTCATGAGGCGATCCACATATACAAACACAGAGACAACTTTAACCGAGAAGATGGATTCTGGCTCAGCAATCATTGGAAGGACGTAATAAACCATTTCGATACACATTAGGGTGTGTAGAATAATACATAGTGTGATATTAAATGTATAAGATATAGGTTGGTTTACAGCAATACAGTATATAATTTAATGTTGGGTTTATCTATGGCAGTATATAGTACGGTATATGCTCGTGTGATGTAAGAGAATAAGGTTTAGATGGAAGCATATTATAGAATTTTTACGAGGTAAAATTGTAATGTATTACTTGCTGTTAGTAACTCAGCTTATTATAGAGTATAGTAAGTATACTGATGGTGCGATGCAGTTTATACTTTAGTTTTTTATGTAGTTTATACTTTAGTTTTCTACGTGTTGTTGAGTAACTGCAGCTACATATCATTAACATTCCTTTCCTTTGTTACTGCTAATCCCTGCACCCCCCTTGGTTGCTGCTGATCCTGCATAATGCATGGGCATAATATGACTTTGACACCCCCCCGCCCAACGCCTACGCATTTTCCATGAATATGCTAAATCCCTCTTCACATGCACATTCTTTTTGTTAAGGCGCTCTTCAACCCCCAATGCAGCTTATATATAAGCTCCTAGTTTGGTAGTGTCTCATTCTTCACCTGAAGACGGCTGCTTGCGTTGTAGCCGAAACGTCGTGAGAATTGTTTTATTATGTTTTATTTTTATTATTTTATTACTTCCCTTCTACGTGACTTTACCGAAAGAAACAAGAAGCTAAATTTACTGTATACAGTAAATCTCGTCGTGATTTATAATTTTATTTCTATTATTATATCTAGAATTTTTATTATTTATTATTTATTTTTACGTACGTGACTTTACCGAAAAAACCTAAGAGTATGAATCCTTGCAGTCACGAAAGCTTCAAATATAACATTCGACAGTTCATCACAACGTTGATCCAATGGGATGTTCCACCTCTTTGTGAAATCGAGTGCGAGCAAGGAGGCCGCCCGATGACCCATCGGCTATGGGGATTATTATTATTTAGCCCCCCCCCCCCCATCAATTGATCGATTGACCCCTTGCTCCGTGTAGCACTCTTCACGCGACGAACTGCCTCAAAGGCGCTTCGCGGACGCGGCGAAGGCGGTACAAATAAATAAGCAACGGTAAAACGCGGGGAAAGCATTCGTTGCGAAGATCAATGAATTGCTGGACCACACTTGAGCAACCTGGGTGGCGAGGGCCGTTGGTTTTTAAGGGTTTGCCTGCATGGTTGGTCCACAAGTGGCGATGCAGATGTCACTGGAATCGCCGCTGGGGTAACGACGCAATGCGCTGACCGCTCAGTGGACTGTCGCTCCCCCCATTGCGAAGATCAACTGCTTGAGCACACTGCACAGGAAAGTCCTGTTTGTGAGAACCTGTTAAGGCTGGCAGGGCATTCGAGAGCAGCGTGGTCAGCGCAATGCCTGGCCACTTCCGTCTCACAGTGCTGATGTTCACACTCCACGTAGAAGGTACTCGCTTGTTTAAGGCTGAGTTGATCTAGGGGAGGTTCAGATACCTTTTGCCACCGATAGACCCGGGTGGGGATTCAACGCAAGTTGCCAGGATCGTAGCGCTGTGTGCTAATCACTGCACCTCTACTCCCCCGACAGACACACGAAGATCCCCCGTATATCTTGCGTAGGTTTGTTGGGGCAAGTTCTGTTTGCAAGCATCTATGGAAATGCCACCACGGCGCATGAGGGGGTGGTGTGGTCAGAATTCACCGATGTTTATGTTGAAACACATGTCACCAGGTACTCATTAAAGGCTGATTTGACCTTGGGGAGGCCGAGGACAGGTTATAATATTGCTCGCCACTGATAGTGACCCGCGCTCATATGTAATTCTGCGGCTGTCTGGAACGCTCTTCCTTCCGAGATTAGGAAGCCACTGGAGCTATGCACTTTAAAATCTAAATTGAAAACTAATTTCTTTAGAACTGCTTTTGGTGTTTAGTTTGTTGTCCTTCCCGCGCACTTCAGATTAGCACGGTTGGCTACGTACGGTGCAAAGTAAGTTCAACATCCATACACAATGTCCCGCAATCAAACTGGGGCAACTGGGCTCCTAACACAGTGTGCACATTCCATTCATACAAATTACCATGAACAATTACGCCTGAAAGATAAAAGCATTTAAAAGGCGCGGCATTGAATGAGTAAATGAAAATGATTATCCACACACTGAGCAGCAACAGAGCACCTGCACTGGGGATCATTAAAAAATAAACTATGAAGTTGGTAATTGCATAGCCAGTAATAGATTGCCGCGTGAAGAGATCCATAATAGCAGCCCTTTCATTACTGGTGCCACTGTGTTTTTGAAAGGTATGCTAATGATGCTATGCGCATCGAACCCTGGCACACGGAACCAAGTGCTGTTCTTTTTTCCTTCCAAAAATAATCTTATTATTATTATAATTATACAAATGTACTTCTTCTTGGTTCTTTCGGTAAAGTCACGTGGAAGGGAAATAATAAAATAATAAAAATAAAACAAAATAATTCTCACAACGTTTCGGCCACAACGCAAGCAGCCGTCCTCAGGTGAAGAACAGGTCTGTCGGTAAGACAGGAGGACGGCTGCTTGCGTTGTGGCCGAAACGTCGTGAAAATAATTGTATTATGTTTTATTTTTATTATTTTATTATTTCCCTTCTACGTGATTTTACCGAAAGAACCAAGAAGATGAATCCCTGCAGTCACGAAAGCTTTAAATCGAAAAACAAATGCACTTATGTATTTAGGAGAACAACAGAGGTAATAGTTTTTTATGGAGGGTCCTGCTACATCGTGATGTTTTTTTCCAGATGCTTTCAGCCAATTCATGATGAGTTCATACACGAGGGATAAAATTGGAGTACCTGGAGAAAACCCACGCCCTGCATGTACGCTTGTGTGTTTAACTTCTTTCGCGCCGTACGTACGCACGTAGCCAACTGCGCTAATCGGAGGTGCGGGGGGAATGACATCAAACTAAACACGAAAAGCAGTTCGACATACTCTTGGGTTCTTTCGATAAAGCCACGTAGGTAAAAATAAAATAAAACTGGTATATTTTAGCCGCGATGATAAGTGCGTTTTAAAAATGAAAAACAACCACATCCGGTTTTGTTCATGAATACTTTTAAAATTAACCTTAAACAAATCGTAACAGAAGACGCGACATGCTGCACGAATCCGGCAGTCGTGGTCACGCACGCGGCCG